TGTGTGTGTGTGTGTTACCTGGCTCAAACTTGATCTGCAGTTTGCTCGCAGGATTGTTGTCTCCAAGGAGACGCAGCTGTCTGTGGAGGGCGTCCAATCGCACAACAGTTTCCAGACAGGTGAACGCCTCACCTGCAGTTGTCATAGCAACAGTTACACACTGTGGCCCAAAGTATGTGGACATCATGACTGACACATTCAGAGTGGCATCAGTAGAAGTATTCTTGAAGTTTTTTCAGCAGTATTTCCCACAGCACTGTTAGTAATAATCCTACCATACGCTTCGGTCGTGATCCTCCTCTGGGCGTATGTGGCCAACCCTTCGCTCAGCCACATCTCCTCCCAGGTGGCGTTGGTGACGGCGTTTCCGAACCAGCCGTGTGCGATCTCATGGATGACGTCAATCAGAAGGAACTCGCTGCTCTCCAGGATGGAGGCGATGATGAAGGTGAGGCAGGGATTCTCCATGGCGACGATGGGGAAGGAGGGGGGAAGGAATACGATGTCACACCTGGGGGATGGTGGGAAAGGTTAGGGTTTATCCCTTTAAAGGTTCAGTGTGTAAGATGTTCTCATCAGTGTGTTTCAGCTAAATTGTACAAATTGTAGTTTCTTTACCTACAATTACCACTTTATATTTGAATACTTTATATTTGAATACTTTATATTTGAATACTTTATATATTTACATCAGGACGGGTTCCTCTCAGGGCGCCATGTTTTTAACAGTCGTCCAGACGAGACAAACTAAACACCTTTGAGTTTTTATAAACATTCTACACACTGAGCCTTTAAGGTGAAAACTGGTGGCGCTCAGACTCACCTGCCCCACAGGTAGGGACCAAAAAGCTCCTCGGCCACACCCAGCCAACGCTCCACACTGCCCCCTAGCTTCTTTACCGCACAGGACAAGAGACATGGTTCTGCCCACACTCGACTCCTACAGAAGTGGACAAAGGTCAAAGGTCAGGAGTCATCCTAATGCAGCCCTGAGGTCGTCAGTGTCAGAATCAGCTGACCATTGATCATGATTTATTCTTATTATTCTGAACTAACCTCGGACCGACGTCCACGTGCTGCATGTCGCCAGCCACCAACGCCACCAGGTAGGACGGAACAGGAGACTCCATAGAGAACTGGAAGACCCGGTCCTGTTTGGAGTACGAACTCCGGGACGCACTCATCAGCACAGTGACGCCGTCTGGAACCTGGAGACAAAGAGGACGACGAAGACAAGACATCACGTCAAACGTTTAAGATTCATGAGTCCAGCAGGTCAGGGGTCAAAGTTCAGGACTCACCCTGATGGTAGCCGTGTACGTGCTCTTAACGGCAGGCGTGTCGAAGCAGGGGAAGAAGGAGCGGTTACACACCGAGTGACCCTGAGTGAAGACGAGAGGACGAGACTGACCACAGGTCAGCTCCGAGTCCAACCACCAGATCTAACACAGAGAGACAGACAGAGAGAGACAGACAGAGAGAGACACAGAGAGGGAGAGACAC